CAATTTGTCTCAGTGGATTGGTCATCCAAGATTTGAGCTTATTCGGCATGGTAATTATTCTTTGAAGTTTGTCTAATTGCCTATTGTGTCAGCATGCTCTTTCTTTCTTGAGACAGAATAAAAGTTCCTTGATAAGACGTTTACTATCTTCTCTTCATGCAACACACTACCACTGTTGTGTCCAAGTAGATATTGTCTTGACTTTGCTCAATGCCATTCTCATCCTTTGTTGTCCATCCATCCATGTCTTTCTTTCCTTTTTTTTTTTGCCCCTTTATAATTAAAGCATTCTGAGGTTTCTGTGCATTTGGAGAAATTTTCTCAAGACCATGGTTTGTTGCTTGAATCACCTAATATTATATTCTATATATTTCCAATTTTTTTCTTGTGCAGATGTCACAGAGCCATTGTTGATTGAAGTTGATCAGATATACCATCTTGCATGTCCTGCTTCCCCAATTTTTTACAAATATAACCCTGTGAAGGTCAGTCACTTGAAAGATATCTCTAAATTCGTCTGTTTTGTACTCACTCGATAGTTTACTTGCTTGCTTGCTTTCATTGTTTATGCTGTAAATACTCTTAAAATGTCATGGTTTCTAGCGGAGACAATGGAAGTTTGGTATTTGCTTTTTATTATTTTCTCTTTTTGTCAACAGACAATAAAGACAAATGTGATTGGTACTCTCAACATGTTAGGCCTTGCCAAGCGAGTAGGAGCAAGGTTTGAATCAACTTGCTCATATTCATTTCGTTTCTTTTTAATATGGCATTTGACTTTCTATACTTTCTTAACAGGATTTTGCTGACATCAACATCTGAGGTTTATGGAGATCCACTTGTGCATCCTCAGGATGAAACCTACTGGGGCAATGTCAATCCTATAGGTATTGTTATACCTCTGAGAATGCCGTAGCTGAATATTCTGTGTGATATGAGGATAATCCAACTTGTTCTCACAAATTCACCTTGATCTTTTACAGTTTCACTGCAATCTAGTTAACAGTAATAATCCACTGAACCTTCTTGCAATTATTATAATTAACAAAAGAGAAGGAAAAATTCCATCTGCATCAGTCCCTCAACTACAATTTATCTTGAGCTAAAATTCATTAAGTAAAAGAATAAAAGCCAGCATTACTCCTCTTATACCTACCTCCAGAACTGAAACCTTGAATTTTTTATTCAATTCCTTGGCATTTCTGACCTTTTGACAATGGTTTGTTATACCTTTTAAACTTCACAATGCTAATAATTATCTGGTCAGTTGTTTTATGCCAAAGCATGATATCAAATGCATCATTTTGTGTTGTTTGAGCAACAGATAGAAGAGCATACTCATGAAGTGTGCATTTTTATTATATTGCAGGGGTCAGGAGCTGCTATGATGAGGGAAAAAGAGTTGCTGAAACTTTGATGTTTGATTATCATAGGCAGCACGGAATTGGTAAAAATCCCTTTGTTTTGCTGCAAATCATATGTTTGTTATTGGTTTTTGACCTCCAATTCTCTGATTGTGTCAAGAATAGTGAAGTCATGTGATGAACTTCTTACAATTTGAAATGACGACTCCACAGAAATACGTATTGCGAGGATCTTCAACACTTATGGACCCCGCATGAATATTGATGATGGTCGAGTTGTCAGCAATTTTATAGCTCAAGCAATTCGGTAATATTTTATTTGCCACACTACAATCTTCTGCATACCTTTGATCCTTCTTGCTCACCCCCTGTTATCTCCGGAGTCAAAGCCCACTTCTGTGCACATCACAATTTCATCTTCTCTACTTGATGTGTGCCAAATAAAAGAAGATTTCACCTACCCAGTTCTCATACTAAATCCTTTTTTCACATGATTGTAGTGATGAGCCTTTGACAGTCCAGTTGCCTGGAACACAAACAAGAAGCTTTTGTTACGTCTCTGACATGGTACAAGAGAGAATTATATTATTTTTTTAATATAACCTTACAATAAATGCTATTATATCCTGTGGCCTGACTCTAATATCTTTTGTATGTAAAGGTTGATGGCCTTATTCGACTAATGGAAGGAGAAAATACTGGGCCAATCAACATTGGGAATCCAGGTAATTATCAATAAATCTTGTGCTAAAAATGCTAAAATTGAGTTCATTAATGCTTCTTCCCCACGTTTCTCCTACTGCCCAAAAGAATCCCTCTGAGTAGAAATCTTAGGTTTGTGAATAAATAACGTTTCAGGATAACTCACATGGTTTTACTAACAGGTGAATTTACAATGCTGGAGCTTGCTGAGACTGTGAAGGAGGTAATACAGCTACAGGTTTCCTCTTCTTTTTCTCCGTTTCTTTGTTGAGTATTTATATGGAACAAAATGGTTATGGCTGTGCAGATGATCAACCCAGAAGTGAAAATCATTACTGTGGAGAATACTCCAGACGATCCTCGCCAGAGAAAACCAGATATAACCAAGGCAAAGGAGTTGCTTGGTTGGGAACCAAAGGTTAAGTTGCGTGACGGCCTTCCCCTCATGGAGGATGATTTCCGCAAGAGGATTGGAATCCCGAGGAAGTGAAATATTACTAGTTTAGTTGGGCATTCTTCTTTCGTCGTGGACTTCTAAGAGATGCTTAAATTCGGCTTTCCTGTGCCATCTTTTTGGCCTTTACTTTTACTAAAAATATCCTTATAATGTGTGATTATTTTCATGTATAAACGGGCAAACATGTCATCCTTTTGAAAGTTAAATTTGGTATTAATAATACGTTCTGGATTCCTCTTTTTTCGGGTTATGTTTTGCAATCTGCAATTGCTACCAATCTTCTTATGGTAAATTCAGTTTCATTTACCGATGAAGAATGGTATTGAAGTCTGATTAAAGCTCCAGTATTCTGAATTTCAAGTCTGTTTTGTGGTTCCCAGATCTCATATACGGTCGACCTTATGGCAGCAAGAAAGGGTTATCTTGTGCCACACTCTGTAGACACATATAACTCTTACCCAATCTTCATAATGTGAGAAATGAGGGTTGAATGTTGCTTTTCTTGAAATAATTTTTAAAAAAATAATTTGTCTATAAACATTTCTGACTTTGTTACCTTAAATATACTAAGCCCCCGTTTGGGCGCGAATGTGAAATGGGAGAATCAATTCTCCTATCTTATCAACTGGCCCCACCTAAAGACATTTTGGTTCCCTAATGCAGAGGTCCATGCATAAATTACAAGATTGCCCACATTACTCCAACTGTGCACTGACACATATTGAATACAATTTTGACCAGCAATGATAAAGAAATTGGTGAGATAATGCATACACGAGGGTCCCATTAACACGTGAATTTTTTTTGCCCACCAAATATTTGTTACACGGAATTTAAATGCAAGAAAACCAATTGTGACATTATTCATGATGACATTTTTTCCCGATTTTGACATGAAACAACGTCCATTTCTCTTGTCGGAAAACATCATGCTTAATGAGCCCGTCTAATTTCGACCAAAAAAAAATACACGTGTTTATTGTTGTGCCAGGTAATCTCTGAACATATCACACCCATCTCGTCGTGATTTCGTGCATTCATTTCCGCTGAAACTTCATCACGTGAGCTTAAGAGCTCCACTTTTGCTGCGTCGGGGTCTGTCTCCGCTCTTAGGAATGCTTCGTCCACCACACCCGCCCGTCGAAGAAAGTTATGAATGGCCATGGTTGCAATGACAACATGTGTTTGTACGTCGAACGCATAACTTGGCATACGATTGAGTATTTTCCACCGACTTTTCCAAATGCCAAATGCACGTTCGATGACGTTCCTGCATGACGAGTGCATGAAATTAAATTTTTCGCGGGCATTTCGAAAGTTACGTCTGCGACCAGTGTCACCATCATAGAATTGTTGAAAAATGGTACAATATATCCAAACCCTTATAGGGTGCCATATACCCAGGTCGATGAGTAAATCCCGAGTTAACCAGGTAATACTTTCCAGGTGCAGGTTGCGAAAACTCAAGCTCGGGATTATGTATTGCCCGAGCCAAGATTCGAGCATTGTGGGAATTCTCCGTTGTACCTACAAGCACGAATGTGAAGCACAAATTGAAATCACATGTCGCTAGCACATTCTGTGTCAGAATTTCTTTTCGTCCGATAAAACTCACGCGCTGCTCCCGTGAAAGGACGGCTCTGACGTGGGTTCCGTCAATCGTACCAATGCAATCCCGAAAAATGTGTTGCTTGTTCAGATTCGGAATGTGATGCTCGACATAATTATTGTAGTTTGGATTCGGTCGAATTACTCGTCGAGAGAATTCGAGGACCGCTCGAAGCACAAGCTTGAAGTAGTGTCCAATGGTTTCCAATGAATGGTTGAAAAGGGTCTGCACCTGTTTGTACCTCTTCCCATGCGCTAATATGCAGAGAAACATACCAACCTGTTCATAAAAATCTAAGTGTTGATGACTGCGAAGCCCGTACTCGTCACACAGCATATGTCCGAACGCTCGTAGCATGACGGGATACATGCGGAACTCGACGTAGCATTGTTGAGGACTACAATTCATTGCGTCCAACAAGAACATATGACTATTTCGCGCGAACAGATATTGCGAAACACGAGTGCTTTGTTCGCGATATTAGTTTCTGATAGTAAACTCATTCATTTGACAGTATCGAAACCACTCCATAATGTCCACTTGCAATTCTTCCATGAATGCCTCGTCGCCCTATTCGTCCTCCGCATTAGAGATCGCCATATGATCACAATCACAATATGATATCCAACACTATGGCTTTTGCATGTTGTAAACTTCTACTATAGTTATGTGCCTTTTATAGAACGATTTGTCTTTCAAGCTATGACCAGGGCAACCAATAATTTATGTGAAGATGGGACTGATGTGACCAATCCACTAACAAATGGAGCACTTGTTTGACCCAACTGTGAACGGCATTCAAAAGTTTGTTTGTCTGTACATCTGTTTGTAATCTACAAGAATCAAACTTTTTGCACGCATATGAAAATAAAACGTTTCAACTGCAAAAAGCAAACTTAGGCAACTATCCCCCATACATAGTAGACACAAACAAAATGTCGTCACATCAAACATAGTACATGTAAACATAATCAATAGTAAGAAAAATTTAAAACGTCCCACGGACGTGTACGCAATCTACACAAACATATATCACCTCGACTGTGTTTTCCTATATTCCTGATAGCTCCACTCCACCCAAGCAAACTTGTCGTTTGCATTGTCTTGCATGTTCAGTACCTCTCTATTGGCCCTCTGCGACAGGAACTTGCACGTGTAAAAGTACAGATCCGTTTGCTTCTGAAGTCGACCCGTAGCCAGCAACTCGCTCATGCATGTCTTCAGGTCGGACACAGCCGCTCCGATGAAGTGGTCAATTTTTGCAGCAATCTTCTCACTGGCGGAGGTAGCACGGTCCACAAAGTATGACACGTCCCGAGATGAAATCTTCTTCCTCTTCTCCTTTGATCGCTTCTCGGCAGCCTTCCGTTTGTCCCCGCTATGCGGGCCAGATTCATCCCTGGCCGTCGAGCATGGTGCGGCTACACCGCCCTCGTTGCTTAAGCCGCTACTCTCTACATCGACTGTGATCTCGTCACGGTGATCTTCGTGTGCACTGTCTTCGAACATGGCGAAGCCAGTGCGGCATGCTTGGCTAGGTGTGACTGCGTACTTATCGCAGTCGAAAACATCCCCGAATAAAACCATGTATCGGTACAACTCTCGACAATCCTTGTCCTTGTACTCTTTCCTTTCCTGAAGCAATACAAAGCAGACGAGGTTCACATCTTTTGCAAACGAAGTGTGAAAGAAGCAATTACAATTAACTGAAAAAAATTGGGATTTCATCTTTCTCAGAAAATAACAACAATGTCAGCCATTCCAACCCATGCACATGAATTTGTAAATGAAATATAAACACAATTACAAAAACACTTGATGTTAACTTGAAGTGCAATTTGCAGTTATTTTGCAGTTACAACTGTAAAAACAAAATAGTTTAGTAGTTGAAGTACTCGGTCCATTAGAAGTGAAGACAATTAGGTATATATGTGACACTTATCGAAATACCATACAATTTCTAACTCACTGGTGGAATTAGGTGCGTATGTTTCGATTTTTTTGCAACAAAAAAAAAAAAGCCAGTAATGCTTCAAAAACAAGAGCCGGTTTCTGGATAACCTAAGTTTTCCCTAAAGCTAAGTGCCCAAAATAATTAACTCATTATGCAACGTGAAAAATCAATTTGTCCTAGAATTTCAACAGAACGAAAACTGGTCTACCTTCTTATATCATGACGATGTAGAAAGTGGATAATGGTTAATTAAGAAGAAGAATCCTTGTTTCAGCACCCTTCTTAAAACAAGTTTGTACAAGTTTAGAGATAAACGACGTAAGTAGCAGATTTTATTAACTGCCAACCATCACTCTTGTTTGTAACTCATTAATTTCATCCCATGTAACTAACAGTATCTCCACATACTTGGGCAACCCAAAGTTACTACTGAATACAAACTTTAATTCTAAGAAATTCATAGTGATTTGGATCGAATTGAAAGGAAAAAAAATGCATTTCCCATCAACTTATTTTCAATATGTAGGCACGTGCATTTGTTTTTTTGGTTCCTTTCGTAAAAATTTGTATTGAACTTAGGCAATTATTCATGAAAAATAATCCTTCAAGAACACCAGGAATCAATGAGGTCTCTTAAATTTGGATATAAATTACTCAATTTGCTCTGATACTAGCTATTACTGATGAGTATATGATGATACCTTCATCTTTCGATCCCACCACTCCGTCGAGGCACTGATCAAGCCAGTGGACGTGTCGTACGCAACGCCACTGCTGTTGATCAATTCTTCAAATCTCTTGTGTTTCAAAGAGTGCATCCCATCGATTTTTCAGCTGTTGCTTGCTCTAATTGTGCCCGGAGTTCGTGTTAAATAAGTGAACCAATGTCTGCCATTCGTATTTGGTAAAGCATTTCCCATTTCGGTGTCCATCAGCGATTACGGTCTCATAGGTGGCGACAAAAATTTGCATCTCATAGTCAGTCCATTGTGCATGCTTACGAGGCCCCGATTCACTGTCAACATGATGGGCGTTTGATGTGGAGGAGTTCGGGTGTGGGTGGTAATTTGGCTGCTGCAAATTGGGAAGAAAAAATGTTAGTCTCCATCAGCAGAAGCAATCGTTCATGGCACTTTACAGTCAACACAAAAATGAACAAAATGTTCAAGGTACTCTACCGTACCAGGGAAATGACAGGGTCCATGGTGGTTCTCTCTCGGTGAGCAGATTATTTTCCAACAACTTACACTACCGTGTGTGTGCTGGAGAAACTGGGAGCGCCTTTTGCAGTTCAACCTCAAGTGCAAATGTAATTTTTTTATGTAAGGCCCTTGTGAATCAAATAGTCCAAAGAAATGTATAGATTGGTGACGAGTGAGGAACGTGCAAGGGGAACGAGTAGAGATCGAAGACACAGATGCTTACCTACGATGTCACATGGGAATGGGGATCTACGGGGACGTCGATTGTGATTGTAGAGTCGCTTGTATCGGTGGCCGAAGAAGGTGAACGTCGTCAAGGCATATTGGGGGTTGAAGCTGTTGGCAGGGGCGCCATCAACCCGCCGCTACAGTTGTCAGAGTAGGGTGGGGGCGACCGGGTTATTACAGAAACTGTTGCCGACTGTCGGAAGATTATTTTCTCACCGTCGGACAACAAAAGAAGCAGATATTGCTGTCGCCAGAGAGCAAGTAGTCTTGGCAGCTTCGTCCAGTGGAGGAGTGGTGTCGGCAGCGTCGTCCAGTGGAGGAGTGGTGTCGGCAGCTTCGTGCAATGGAGGAATGCAAACTGTGAGCGTCTCTTGCTTTTTCATTAGTCAGATGACAGAGAAATGAGGGTTGGTTTGGTGTCTTAATTGTGGGGGTAGAAATGGAAAAAACCAACAGACATTAATGTCAGTCTATTTGATTCTCATATCAGTAGAACGTGAAAATGTGGCCATTGGACAATCAACAATCAGAAAATCACTTAATTTTGGCAATAAAAGTGCGCCCAAACAGCGCCTAAATTGAGTAGACCTTTTGTTCGTACAACTGTTCGAATATCCAGATTCTCAATTAACATCATCTTGTAGTCATTTCAGCATTTTCTTCGCTTGTAACCTTCGTTGATGAACAAAAAAATAATAACCCTATCAAATACTAATTTCCCTAAAAACTCGTTAGCTTTTCTCTCTCTCCATCTCTTTAACAAGTTCATGCATGGTAACATTATTTTATTTTTTTTGAAGATATGGGATATAAAAGTACTTGATATATTCAAGGATACTTTAATTATTGTAGTACTGATTAAGATATTACTATTTTTTTTTTCAGAAAAAATGATAATTATATTCGTAACATAATTTTTCTTTTCTTTTGATAATTTCATCATATTTTAATTGTAATGAAAGTCCTTAGCTTTTTCTTACCTTTAACCCTTTTTTTAAGTCATATTCATATCCTACACCTTTTGTGATTAAGCACATTTTGTCTCTAAAGACGGGTCAGTGTAAAAATTTCATTAGGGGATCGTAAAAAGACTTATTTGTCCTCATATTTTTAAATAAACAATTGACAAATTATTTGTCAATTGTTTCAAAGTATGTCAAGAAAATATTGGGATGAAAATTGTTATCTGACTCAAAATGTGTTGACTAATTGAATGTTAAAGATAACGGTGGAGTACAAGTTAGGGAATTAAATGCAAAAAAAAAAAAAAAAAAAAAAAAAAATAAAAAATAAAAAGGAAAAAAAAAAAAAAAAAAAAAAAGATTAAAGATTAAAGATCTTTATCATAATTAAAATATAATGTAATTAACAAATACGGTTCTTTTACAATACATAGAATGTCATTTTAAAATTTCTAACTAAATCATCATTAAAATATTGTTTTGTAACATTAGTTCTTCAAAATAGGGGTGGAGCTAGAAAATAATTACGGGGTGGTCTAAAATTTCAAAATTCTAAATAAACTTTTGTTACAAAAGATCGAGTTTAGGAGACTACGCTCACCTTAAAAAATATAAACCGATAGAATCATGATAAACATAAGTAAATTTTATATATCCATCAATCAAATTTTTTTTCAAAAAAATAATTAATGAAAACTGCTCTAAAGAGTTTTACAACCAACTGTTCCAAACAACTGAAAGTTTTGACCAAAAAAGGCAATCGAAAGGACATTATTGTAAGCCATCGTTCTCAAAGACTATTTAATATGGACATCAATCTTTTTATACCAACGCATTCCAGAGTGAGTAAAGAATCCACCCAAAGTGAAATTAAAAAAAGACAAGGAATTTCGAGGGTAAAAAAAAAATTGTTTCTTTCACGTCCATATTTGATCAACTTCTATAATATACATATAATTTGATTATTCATATATGAATAAGTTCTTTTAAATATTTTTTTTATTATAAGATTAAATATAAAGGAAGTTACTTATTTTGATAGTAACATCTATTTCATGATCAAAACAAATAAGTTTCTTTCTTATAAGTATGAATAAGTAATATGTGAAAATATTTTTAGAAAAAAATTTAATTACTCTAAACTTAGTCAAATATTTAGTGTCTCCTACTAATAAAATAACTAATTATTTTAGCTCTAATCAATACATTTTTATTTATTACTAGTTTTTTTGCCCGCGCAATGCACGGGTTGTGTTTCTTTGAAGGTAATGTTAGCATGTTAAATGTTAATGATGGAGAGATACACATGTTTGTACAGAAGATGATAGGCATATAGGACTGCATCAAGTTCTTGAATTTTTCATCATCTTTGCAAAGATGAAGTTCTTGCACAAAATTTTTACTTTGGAGAAAGAAAAAGGATGTCAATGAAATAAAAATGAATCTATTGTGTAGGTCACAGCAAGAAGTCGTATGTTTTTCGTTAGTTTAAGAACTGAACTTGTACTCAGACAAAGCATTTCAATGTAAAACACTCATGCTTCCACTCAACTGAAATTAAGCTTCCCAAATTCACATCGCACATGCTTAACACTTGATTTCAGGATGAGGTACAAGAAGATTGAATGTTCAAACCTACATTCATTTTCGAGCTAACTTGTCTTCGTACCTTAGCTTTTGCACTTTAGCTTGTGCTCGTTGATACATATTTCTATGGTCTTTTACCCATTTTTGCAGCTTCTCCTGTAGATACAAGCACACATGATGGGTGACAATGAATACATGAAGTTCTAGTCGAGTCACATGAAAAAAAATTCACACTTCAAACATTTATTCTCTTGATCAAAAAAATAAACATAATGTGTAGTCAATTCTACCATTAAAACACTAATACAAATAGGTGGTAGTAAGCACATACCTAAGTAATCCAGCAATGTTCAAAAAATAAAAAATAATCCCCACAAGATAAATTCTCTCTGTATATCTGAAAAATTTCTTTCTGCAAGGACAGAGATTTACCAACCACCACTTACATTTTCTTTTCTTTTTTCTCTCCAAGAAAAGTAAATAAATAAACAAAGGTCTAAAGTGAGTCAAAAACTCAATATTTATTAACCATTTAAACAAAAATAAAATGTTAGCGAACCAATTTTTAAGGAAAACTGACTATCTATTTGGATAATCTTCCTATCACAAGATTATGAACTGTGTTTGTATGTGTGTGTGTGGGGGGGTGGGTG